CCATATTTACAAATAAAGAAAATTACATTATTTTTTAAATTCTAAAAATATATCCTGGTGATAGCAAGCTGCTTAATGCTTAAGTGATACCTAAGACAACTTTAGAGGGAGACTAAAACATTGCCCAAGATACATGGCCCAAAACTTTTGACTCCAAAATGGCACCGGGAATTGGGGCATAAAACATGGACATACCCGTGCGATGAAAAAGACACAAAATATAGAAAAAGTCTGAGATTCATTGATAGCCATAATTGTCGGCCCCGCGCTTTCCTATTTCCGAGCAAAATCCGGAAATCAAATTTAATATTATGTTGCATTTTTCATTAAAATGGCAAATTGGTAAATATACTTCTCTTCCCCAAAGCATCTTTGGTCCCTCCATGTTTATAATTTTCAGTATCTGCATGCATGTACATGCGGAACCGGATCCCTTCCTGAGCATAGGGTGGGGATCCTCCTGACTGGATCATATGAACCATTGAAATTTGATCCAACGATTACAATAATTATAACTTTAGAGGGCCCCCTGTTTGTAGCCGTTGAATCAAATTTCAATGGCTCAAATTTCAATGAATCAAATTTCAATGGCTCATGCGTTTAATTTTAGAGAAATGCGAAGGAGATTGTTTAAGGGTTAGTTTGAGATTGATGTGCTGTGAAAAAAAAAACGATGTTTTTAAAAGCAAATGTAAAGCTGCTTCTACTTTTTGCTATTTTGGACTCATGATTTTGACAAAAATACATTTTTTTTATATATTTTATTTACCAAACACAATTTTAGCCTCATCATTTAAAAAAAAAAACTGTTTTTAAAATAATTTCAGCAATGCCAACCAGCCCTAAAGTGGGACTCTCTGCCATTTCACAGTTTGACATTAATTCATGTGTCAACGTTATGAAACATTGTGCAAAAAACATGAGGTATCAGAGAGTCCATGGAGAGTTTCACTTTTGAGAGAATCGCCTTAACAATTCTCTTAATTTTATATATAAACTTGGTTAGTCAGCGAATTTTATACATAAACTTTGTTAGACAAGGTTTTAAAGAGGCAAAGCTAATTACTCACTTTTAAGTTAATTCGCATATGTTTGTATTGAGTTCGATACCTAATTAGTAGCTGCTTAGTTGTGTTGAGTGCCAATTTAAAGTGCATTCTTATTAAATCTATCAGTTCATGAAACTTTAAAGACCCTATTCCTCCAAAGAAACCACAAAATTTTGGTCAAAACACAAGTGGAGCATCTAATTTTGTCTAAACAACTTGCAAATTTAGGAACTGGCTCAATACTTATATGCATTTGATGTCAACCATTGATTTCTCCTTTCCAGTCCAATTTTTTTTTAAGGAAATGTTTCACTTTCCATGTTTCATTTTTTGGGTAATTCTCAATTTGCTATCCTAAAGTATCGCAGTTTTCAAACTTTCATATATCAAATTTTTTTCATCGTAGTGTCATACGAAAAGTGAGAAACATCCATTAAATTTCGGTGAGAAACTCCATTAATCTGTGACAAGATGCCTCTATGGACAATGACTGGACGCTACATGGTACCCAGAGCCGGCCCTGAGGGTGTGCAACAGGTGCCATCGCACAGGGCCCCCGATTCGGAAAGGCCCCTAAATTTTCATTACATGTATATAGATGCATATAAAATAATTAGATGTAAAAGACAATCTTATTTGTGGTTCTAGCGCAAGTGGTTTATCTCTTTTTTCTTATAGCCCATGTGCTAGGTTCGAATCCCAATGATATTGTTTTGTTATATTTTAAGCTTTTGCAAATTTGTATCGAACTCAAGACCTTTGAAGGTAAGGAAAAACACATGGCTGATCAAACAACTTATTTTTGTTGCAGTAACTTGTAATATTTTAGTTTTATAAATGAAAAAATAATAATAATAAAGAAATATAACATTAAAAAAAATGAAGGACCTCCACCTAAGTTTTATACAGGGCCCCTCAATACTCAGGGCCGGCCCCGATGGTACCCTTTCAAATTAAAAAAAATATATTAAAAACTTCATTTTGCATTTGATTAGTGCCAAAGCCTTCACGAGCCAATTCCCAATTTTTTTATTGGAAATAATTAATTTAGAAAAAATAAAAATAAAAAAAATAAAAAAAATAAAACCAGAGAAGGAACAAGAATTCCCATAATTTAATGGGGTTGGTTAACAATGTCAAAAGGTTGATAGGGTCAACATCTCTTTTCTGTTGCTGAGTTGAAAATGCTTGCTGATGGTGCAAAATCATTGTCAAAGGGCGGTACAAGCTTTTCCCCAACCCAACAACCTAAGCCACCCATTCATTCTTTTTTTTTTTGTTTTTGTTTTTTGTGTTTCTACAAACAATTAATAATCTACGCTAAATTTATCTAACCTATGAAAAGAAGAGAATATTTGAATCCGAAGCAAAGTAGGTTAAAAAAAAAGCATTTATATACCAAGCCAGTTCACCGCTTTCATTTTCTTACTCAAACAGGAAAAACATACCTATCAATCAATATTAAAAAAGAGAGTGTGATCTTTGATTAAGATCTTATAAGAAATTTTATGCACCTATCTTTTCTCCCATTACAAGATTGCAAGCAAGATTATTAGTGATGCTTTAATTTGTCGGGAAGTCTTAAAAAATAGTATTCATTAAAAAGAAATATATATATATATATATATTTTTTTTTAATATTTTACAAAACCATATTCTTATGAGTTTTGTTTGACATCTAGACATTGTACTTTGACCACATTCATTTGCACTCCTACGCTTAGCTCAAATTTCTCCTCGCTTAGCTCAAATTTCTCCTCGTAGAATAAATGTAGGGGTGTGATATTCACACACTCCTTTTTACTTCTTACACACTTTTTTAATTTTCGATCATCGGATCAGATGAATTAAAGAAGATCAAAGGTCAAAAATCAACAAGGGGTGTGTGAGAAGTAAAAAGTGGTGTGTAAGAAGTAAAAAGTGATGTATGGATAGCACACCCCTAAATGTATTGTTGTATCGGTTATTCAAATGTAGAAACAAAGCAAGGTAAAAAGTCCGACCGAAAAAAAAAAAGCAAGGTAATAAGTGGGGTAATTCGGGCAAGGCAAGATAAAGAACTAATTTAGGGCCAGTTAATCAACCCACTCATATAGTGTTAAAATTTTAAAGAGACGAATCAAAATTCAACCCTAAGCTTACATAATCTATCAACTTGCACCTCGCCAACAACTAGGGTTTTATCACAAAAAAAGTTTCAACACAAGCATAGTGAAACTGCTTAATATAAGTCATTTCATTTAGCCAATATTGTGATGTGAGATTTTTAGGGCCTGTTTGGTATCGTATTAAAAAATTTCATAATTTCTCAAAACATTTCTTAAGAACATGTTTTAATAACAATTTTGTTTAAGATAAAAAAACTTATTTGGTATGTGATTCAAAATAATTTTTAAATTTTAATAACTAAAAAGAAAAAGAAAAACGTCCTACAACAATTCAATTGGAAGGTCAGGTTAAAAAGGGAAGAGGATCCTCTCCGGATTCATTTTGTTGGGATCTTAGAGATTCCCACATCCTAGCCGTTCATCATACATTATGCGGCCAGTTTTCGTCAAGTACTATTTGTGTTTAATTTTAAATAAAAAAAGTCAAATGATTTTTTACCGTACGATGCACGATGAATAGCTAAAATGTGAGGATTTCTAAGATCCCACAATTTGGATCCGGATAGGATCCAAATCCGTTAAAGAGAATGAGAGAGATGAGAGAGAAAGAACAAAGAAAGAGGAGAGAGAGATAGGAGAGAGATTTGGGGAGGAGGAGGGGAGGAGAGAAGTAGGAGAGAGTCTCTAGGGGAGGATGGAAAAAGAGAGGAGAGAGAAAGAGCAGAGAGGAGAGATTGATTCGGAGGACGAGGGGACAAGAGAGAGAGAGATATGAGAGTAAAATATCAAAAGAGAGGAGACAGAGAGGAGAGAGAAATAGCTGAGAAATTTGGAGGGGAGGAAAGAGTACGATAGGATAGAGAGAAAAATCAGAAGTGAGGAGAAGAGAGAAAAAGTAGTGGGTTTCAAGTTTAAAAACTCTAACAACTCATTTTTTGTGTTTTTAGAAGTAATCTAATTTTTAAGTTAGTTTTAAATTCAGTTTTTGGAAAAGTCATACCAAATAAGTATTCAAGTTGTAAAACTTAAAAAGTGTTTTTGAGTCTAAAAATTTGGATTCAAGTTGAATACCAAACAAGCCCTTACATTCTTAAACAATATTAATAAAGAAGAGTAAGCAAAACTAGTACACAGAGAAACTTATAAGCAAATCAATTGGGATGTGGTGTGAGGTGAATTGCACATAAAGATTTGATCGTCAAACTAGTATTTTGCCCATGATAGCCTAGAACAACACTTAAGACAACCCTCCCCTCAACACATACAATGCCTTAAGTTCTAGTGTTAGAATAAGACCCAATATCACTAGTTAAATGAATAAGGTGATGAAATACCCATATACCATCTTCAACTGAAGAAACTAAACATAACCCTCTCAATAAGTTGTTAGTTTTAAGTTTATACTTTAAATTTATTGGTTAATTTAGTTAAATTATCGCTAAATGTTTACAAATATAGTCATTGAATTTGATTCAATGATTATAGATGAGAAGCTGAGTTTCAAAAAAGGGGCTACGAGGAGGGTTAGATTTGGTCAACCTAATGCCCATTTGGCCAAATAATGACTTGGTAGGCTCTATAAAATTATAGCCCAGCTATCGGTTGAAAATAAGTTTTTAGACAAATTAAGCCATTTTTTTACAACCTTTAGCCCTTTTCTTTGGAGATGACCTTATGGATACAAAAATGGCGTACAGGCAAGGCACTTGCGTTGCAGCGCCTGGCATTGGACTCGTCTTGAGTCCACTCGGAGAGGGACTTGGGAACTAATGACTTGGCGGGGGTTCCCAGCCATTCTCAACAAAGACTTGGTTTCTACTCCTCAATCTCAAATCTCAATGGATTAAATAAAATTGAGGCATGCACCTTGGTGCAGGTTCGCTCCTCACCTTTTCCCTCCTTGCGCCTTCATGCAATGCCAAACGAACTTCTTATATAATGCAGGCATTGTGTACAAGTACATTTCGCTACGTCATTTAATTTAATCACAAAATTATCTCGCTTAAACAAAAAAATTCTCACTATCAAAATTGGGACACAACGACGAAATCAAGAGCAACATTTAGTTCTTGAACCTGGTGCTCCGACTGATTCCGGCATTGATTCCAGTGGCCTCTCCACCATACGGACCTAAGGGCTTCCTCACCTCCCGCACCTGTCCTTTTCTATTCTTCACTGCCTTCTGGTGCTTCAACTGTGCACGCACAGAGAAGGAGATGAGTTTAACAACAGAGCAGTCATTTAACAGGCTGCAACATTACACATGTTCGATTATTTGATCAAAATACCATATACTTCTTTCTTGGATTCTTGATCAGCTTCTTGTGTGCACGAGTAAGTCCCCCCCCTGTTCTTCTCCATCTGGTGTAGATGTGGAGGAAGAAAACAATATGGTGAGCCAACAAACAATGGTAAATATTATACTGCCAATTAGATGAGCATGATGGCCAATGGATACCCCTTAGGTGTTACATTGTATGTGTTAATGGAAGGAAATGCAGAGGTTTATTTCCTGTTTGAATCTCTTAAGGAAAAATGAAGACATAAATATTATAAAGTTCAATATGTTTCATTCCTAGGAAATAAGTTAAAAACAAGGATTGATTGGAAGGCAGCAGTGACGAGGTCAATACCTTCGACTTAATCGGATTAGCAGCAAGTTGGGAGAGTTTACTTGCACGGCCGTTGTTCAATCCATGGACGCCACCCTCAATATTTACAGTGTCATCATCAAAATCATCATATGAGTCAAGCTTCCTGTTTACTCGCAGATTGGTTGAGTTAACTTAGTACTCACAATATAGGAACAAAAACATACTATAAAGTATGGGAGCAAAGTGGTACCCATTCAATGGCTTCAGAAGTTTCCTGGGTTTATCAATTTTCGGAGCAATGGAACTGAAGACACCTTTCTCCTTCAACTTTTCCTCAAGGGCAGCTCTTACTTTCAAAATTTTCATGCTCTCTACACCAACCTCATCATTCTGCCACATACTAAGAGGTAAGCATAAAACAAAATGATAATCTTCTTGCAGCCACAAAGAGAAAGGAATTACAAAATTTAGGAAAGAGAACAGAATCAGATACTCGTTAACAAATATGCCATGTATTTACCTGAAATTTGCGTTTTCCCACCTGGTTTTCATTATTCTTCAGAGACTCCGCTATTTCTACCTTAGCAATGTCATGCAACTGCAGTGAATTAAAGTATGAATCTCTTAAGATATCATTGCTTAAAACAATACAATGTATACTGCTCAAAGACAGAGATTAAAGAAGTAACTACCACAGCTGCTGCTTCTCCCTCAACCAAGGCAGGTTGGGGTCCATATTCTTTAGAAAAAGAATCAGATGCGTCAATCGAAGTCTCTTTACCTGAGTTTGCCACTGCTGCCACCCAATTATATTTGTTTAAAATTTCCTCAAAATCAGATGGTAGATTGCCATCAAGTTGCTTCATCTGTAAAGGGAAACCCACATTAGCCATATCTTTGGAACAACGAAACCACATATCGTCATACAAACCATTACTATAATAAGAGCAAAAGGAAACCAAACTCTATACTTCCATACGTAATTGTTAATCTGCACTTTGCAGGGACCATTATGAAACAAGCTGAATATCGACTCAAGTGGTTTGTAATTTTCCTTTTGCCCCACACCAGTTCCAGTTATAAACAATACCAACACTAAGTTGCAATAGTCATCCTGATCTCAAACGAGACCTTTAAATTGCAAATTAAATATGACATAGTTCCATCGAAGCCAATGAAGCATAAATTTGAAGATAACAATTAAAAATCCTTAATTAATTGGGACAAAAGTTTAGGAGAGCAATTCGAGGAGAGGCAGACAATCTGACTAAATTTATAAGTATCAAAAGGAGAGTTGCTTACTATCGAGAGAAGGGACACATTCTCATTATTCAATGATGATCACCCATATCCATTTTTTAAAAAGAAAACATGTAATAAAATATAACTCAGAGAGATGGGAGCAAAAGCACTGCATCAAATGTATATGCAATTTGTACGCACATATCTGAATATTATTTACTTTTTCAAATTAAAATCTTTATGGAGACCGTAACCAACTTATAGATCTGTGTAAGGCCGGCAAGTTCAAGATGCTTTAGCGAGTGAGTTAGAGGAAAAAAGATGACCTTATCCAACAAAATCTTGATCTCTATGAGGCGAGCAAGTACCAGATGGTCACAAACTGGTTGTCCTTCAGACTTGAGAAGAAGGTAGAATGTTATTGCTTGGCAGTAAGAAAGCAGAAGAAGCTGATTAACTTCTAAATAGCGCATCCCTCCTTCCAACATGGCCTCCCCTTTTTTAACCTTCAGAAAACACGAAAATTTCAATAAAACTTAACACACGATCGAGCAAATGTATTAAAAACATTTTCATGTAACCAGGGGAAAAATCATACAAAATTAGACAATAAGAAGAAACCTAAAGAAACTAGACCCAGAAATTTAGATGTACAGATATTGAAGTTTAGAATCATAAGAGCATCTTTACAGCCAGAAGGAACCAAATACATGGGTGATTATGAATTTATCCCAATTCCCAACACATTAACTCCTTAAAGGGACTGATCATCATACCACTACATCTGCAGGCATTCATGCTGAAGACAAATAAACATGAGTCCTTAAAATCAGCATATGCTTTGAAAAGGGTACAACTTAGAGAACCTGTGAGACATTCCCTATCTAGTTTTGTTATTCCAAATTTGCCGCCTTAAGTTTCATCTTGGCGTAGGTTAGAAATTATTTTGAAGTTGCAGGAAATATATGCAAAAGGAAATAGAAACGCTACCGTCACTTCTTTTAGTCACATTATTTTGGGGCCAAAAATGATTTAGGTGTAATATATAAAACAGATTAAAGGAGGAATGCTAAAAATGATTTGGGTGTAATATATAAAACAGATTCCGGATGCAGACATGAACATCCCATCTCCAGGCACGATTTATTTTATTATAACTATAAGCAGTGAAACCCATGAATGCATGTATAAAACAAACAAATAATAGAACAGGGAAAAGTATCGACATTGCAAAGCCTAAGAGAAAAAAAGGAGACCTTGTCAAGGAAACAAATAAAAAAAAACAAAAAACAAAAAAATGTAGAAAGGAGACCTTATCCAGAAAACAAAAAGGAGGAGCAAAGGAAACTTCAGAGTGGGGTAAATCCATAAGAATGACACCATAAAGGCTTTAGCTTCAACATCATAATAAACAAGACGCAACATTATCCCGAAAAAAAATTGCCTCTTTGCTCTTCCTACTAAACCCTTCATTTTTTGTAATAAAAATAAACCTCCATACCAAAATGCCAAGAAAAGTGTTTTGCAGTGACACTTAAGAGTGCATTCAAAAGAAAATTGGGATAACACTACAAATTTGACGATATATACGTAGATTTTGAAAAAAAAACAAAACAAAAAGAACAATACCTTGCCCAGAAGTGGATTCACTTTTCCTTCAAGCTCTTCATGTGCATCATATAGCTCTGACAACAACCCAACTAATTCTGGTGCAGAACTGGAGGGAAAAAGCATTGACTAAGCAGGGTACAAAAGAAGAGGCAAAGTGCCAAAGTAGAACTAAAATAAATACAAAACAAAAAGATGTGCAAATTTGAATGAGAGACAAGGCACAGGAAAATCTGAACTTCTCATTATCCAACTGGAAAAAAAATAATATGAAATGGAAAAAACCGCAGAGCACAGAAATAATATGACATAGAAAAAACTGCATAGCACATTTAAAATATCAAACTGCATAGCACTCAAAACTTTAATTTAAAAAGAAATTATAGAGATGAAAAAATTTACTTATATACTTAGAAGGTCGCACTTATACTTTAATTTTTTTTTTAAATATATATAAATGAAAAACCTTACTTATATAAAACATCCATTTGCTCATCCTTTGACAAGGCACTCAAATCTTTCTTCACCTCCTAATAAGCTGTACCCGTGCCATCTGCAAGATCAATTCCCACTGGAAACCTTTTTGCACTGTTTCCCTTCATATGTAGCAGTTGAGTATTTGGTTCTACAGACTTTCACGGTGCAACGAATTCAAATTACCAAACAATGCAAATACTAACTTTACTGTACTTTTCAGGTTCATAAATAATACCATTAATTTTGTAAAAAAAAAAAAAGAGAAAAAAAACAAACGGAAGAAAAAGAAGTTAAACTCACTGTGAGAGAGAGAGCTGGGTTTGGAGGTGGTGGGGTGCGGCGCCTTTTGGTACTTATTTCCCTGAAAACGCCGGAACTCAGATGACGACGTGCGGTTAAACCAAAGAAAATATTAGAGGCGGACGAATGGAGAAGAAAGAGAGATTAGGAGAGAATTAATGGAAAACAATTAATTAATAGAATTTTGTTAATCTAAACTACCTATTAAATTTTCTTTATCAACTAAAAAACGAATGGAAAGATTATTTAGAACATGTTTGATACTCTAATTTAATCCAACTTTTTAAACTCAAAAATAATTTTCAAGTTTTAAGCTTTAAAAACTTGTTTGGTAAGACTATTTTCAAAAATTGAACTCAAGACTAACTCAAAAATATAGTCTATTATCTAAAAACATAAAAAGTGAGTTTTTAAAGTTTTTAAACTTAAACTCACTCATTTCTTTTCTCTCCCTCCTCCCCTCTCACTCCAAATCTATCTCTTTTTTCTTCTTTCTCTCGCCCCCTTCTTTTTTTTATTACCTTTTTCGTCTCTTCTTCAATATGCTCTCTTCATTCTCTCGGTTCTTTCTCTCACTCCTATTTCTCTCTATCTCCTTCGATCTTCTCACTTCTTTCTCTTCCCTCCAATTATCTTACTTTCTTTCCTCATCTCTCATCTTTCTCTCTCGACCCCCTTTTTATGGATCTTTTTTTAAATCGCATACCAAACAAATTTTTTAGTCTTAAAGAAAATTGTTTACAAGAAAAAATTTTAAGAAATGTTTTGAAAAATTATAAAAATTTTCAAATAGGATACCAAACAAGCCCTTAGTTTTTTATCACACAAAAAAAGGACAATAATATAATTTCAAAGATCCAAATTTTTACTGTTTTTTATTAAACTCTTGCCTACAATTGATGTTAAGATATCTAATACTAGCATTTGCCTATACATTTTGTGTGTATGAATACATTTTTTTTTTTAAATGAGAAGGAGAGAAGGAGAGAGAGAACATGGGGAGTGGGAGGTTTTTTTAATTTTTTTATTTTAATATTAGAGGTATTTTAACATCACCTGTAGATGAGGTTTCAATAAAAAACAATAAAATTTGAACCTATGAAATTATATTATTGCCCATCATTTATTTTGTGTGATAAAAGACTAAGTAGTCTTTTTACCCTCTTTTGATTGACAAAAAGAGTTTCATTAATTAACAGAGATTAAAAAAACAAAAACGTCCCTTCCACTCCCACTTTTATCCCTCTCTTCTTCCCATTATAAAAACAAAAATAAAAGTCTTTGCTTGTACCATACTTAGAGCCTCTGTATTTAGATCTCGTATAAATACTCGGAGGACTAAAATGTAATTATGTAATAAAGAAAGGGGTAAATATGTAAAATGGGGAGGAGCCCTTATTATATAAAAGGGTCTCATTACCCTCACAATCTCCAGGTCTCTCATATTCAAAGCAAACCCCTCACCCTCTCAAAGCCTCATTCTCATATTACCGATGCTCTCCCCCTCACAATCCTCTCAGAAATACAATATCAGTGTGGACGTAACCCAAACCTTGGGGTGAACCACGATACACCTTGTGTTATTTACTTTCTTGCAGATTCACGGTCGGATTTACGTTGTTCCAAGACCTCTCCGGTTTTGTGCATCAACATTTGGCGTCATCTGTGAGAATCGACACAAAAAGCTATGTCGGTTCTCTTTCATTTTTTCATCTCACCACCGTGAGACCTCACCACAATATCCACCGCGAATCAGCAGCAACCACAGCACCAAGGTTACCAAAGTCACATCCAGTTCAACAACCCACAACACCAAGGTTACCAAACTCACTACCAGTATAACCAACAACAACACTACCCTTTCGAAGTCGGGAAAAGCTTTCGTCCTCAAAGCACCAGGGTTACCAAAGTCACATCCAGTTCAACAACCCACAACACCAAGGTTACCAAATTCATTACCAGTATGACCAACAATAACACTACCCATTCGAAGTCGGGAAAAGCTCCCGTCCTCAAAATGGCTCCTCAGCTTCAAATTTTTTGGCAATTGCCACCCTGGTTCCAGTAGGGGGAACTCTGCTCTTGCTTGCAAGGCTCATACTGGGCGAGACCATCTGTTGTGGTCATACTCTTGTCTTGGCGCAGAACTCCGCTATCGAGTCCGTGGTGAGCTCCACCAAGACTGAGGGAAGCAGCAGCAACAGTGATGAGGAGGACTTCCTCGCCGGGCTCACTCGCCACCTCGCACAGTCCTCGCTGCAGCCTACTCACCAACCTAAAAGTTGTGGACGCTTGTGGAGGGAGAGTGACGATTGGTGATGTGGCTGGCCGGGCCGGGCTCAAGCTTAACGCCACCTAGGATCTGCTGCACGAGGCTGCAGGAGAAGTCTCGTCTTGTCTCGAACAATTTTAAAGCACAACGACATACAATATCGAATGCTACCACCACCGATTCACTTCGACTTTTTCACCACCTCCTCCATCAAACCACTATTTCTCTCTCTTCCATCTCCCTCATATACCCTTTAACTCTCTCGGGGTTCTCTCTCCACCTTTCTTTCTCTTCCCAATACGGGCGCAGATTGCCATTCCTGCGAGCTTTTCATGTCTGGGGTTACTCCAAATCGATTTACCCCAATTGGGTTTTTTTATTTTCCGATTTGAGCATCTAGGTTATCATCGTCGTCGTCCCCCATGGCTGCCTCCTCTGTTGCATCTCCGCTCTGCACGTGGCTGGTGGCTGCTTGCATGTCGGTCACGTGCGACAGAGACTGCTCTGCCAGGCCATCTATGCTCAACTCCTCCCGGAGGCGGTCAAAATGTGCCGAAAGAAGGAGGCTGCCGTCCAAATGTAATAGCTTTATTGGCGAATTCCAGAAGGGCCTGATTTCTACGTTCAATGGATCCAGCATTCAGGGCCTTACAACCACCTGCTCGGCTTTCGAGCCCTGCGATGAGTACTACAGCTCAAAGGGCTTATCTTGTTTGGGATGCAATGGGTTTTCATCACTGTTTGGATCCAATCGAAGGCATAGGTAATTTAATAAAGCCTCATACTCTGATTCAAATCTCTTAGTGACACGAGACGATCCCGCAACCCTTCCATATGTCGACGATCCCGCAACCCTTCCCAAATGGTTACCCATCGCACATCCTCAATTTCCAACCAGGGGAGGCCTTTGTGGTTTGAAACATCGCCAACATGATTCCTCCATTTGACCTGAGAGAGAAAGAGAGCTGTCATGGGTAAGCCTCCAAGCAACGGCGGCCCTGCCTTCTGCTTCATCCAGTCTAAGATTCCAGTGGTCTGCTGTGGTTGGAATTGGGATGGGGACAAGGTCCCAGCAACAACCAGGCCGAAAGAGAAAAGTAGTGGGAACAAAGTGAAAAGAAAAAGGAAAAGAGAAAAGAAGAAAAGCAAAAGATCTTCCTATTATTATGATTCCTTTTGTCTGCTAGGTGAAGAGACAGAGAGAGTACAGTGGAAAAACAAAAACAAAAGCAGAAAGCAAAAGAAGATAAAAAAAACATACATAATTGCAGTGGTGATGAAATTATGGGCATGACCCATTGAGCAGAAAGTCGGATTTATTTTTTAATGATGTAATTTACTTTTCTTATATTTCAGAGACATATGTATAACCCCATCAGAGGGTAATAAAAAAATAAAAAATTAAATTAAAAAAAACGGCAAGCCCAAAGTAATGGGCTGCAATGTTATGTGGAGAGCGAATGCTCATATGCCCAAAAGAGCAAAGCCCTATGACTCCAAAATTATTCGACAGTCTGCCGCTATTACCACCAACCAGGTGATCAAAAGTACGTTCAGTACTCCAAAATTATTCGGTAGCCTGTCGCTATTACCACCAACCAGATGATCAAAAGTACGTCCAGTACTCCAAAATTATACATGAGCATCACTCATGCCAATCATACATAAACATTTCATGAGCATCACTCATGTCAATCATACATAAACATTTATGACCATCATTCATGTCAACATTCATGAGCATCACTCATGTCAACATTCATGAGCATCACTCATGTCAACATCCATGAGCATCACTCATGTCAATCAACATAAACATTCATGAGCATCACTCATGTCAATCAGCTTCAAAAGCTTCATTTACAGAACTCTAGCTTCAAAAACTTCATTTACAAAAGCTCCAGCTTCAAAAGCTTCATTTCAGAGCTCTAGCTTCAAAAGCTTCATTTACAGAGCTCTAACTTCAAAAGCTTCATTTACAGAGTTCTAGCTTTAAAACTTCATCTACAAAGCTTCAGTGCAGGGTATACAAATACCGCATCCGAACAACCCCCACTTCAGCCCATACATGGATTCAATTTGAAGTCTCCATCTAACAGACTTTATTGACCGAAAACTTAGGGAACTACATTATGTACCATATATTGGGCCTCAACTGGGCTTCATGAAAAATACTCGGGAGACTTAACCCATTATTCATGTATTGAGTAGCGAGCCCTTATTTTATAAAAGGGACTCCCTCACTTTCATTAGAGAGCACCTATCACTTATGTATTGAATAGTGAGTCATTATTCTATAAAAGGGACTCCCTCACTTTTATTAGAGAGCACCCATCAATTATGTATTGAAGAGCGAACCCTTATTCTATAAAATGGACTCTCTCACCATCATTAGAGAGCATCGCCGCCAGCTGAGTAATCGCTTCGCCGCGAGCATCACTCCTAACCCATCACTTATGTATTGAGGAGCAAGCCCTTATTCTATAAAAGGGACTCATTCACCTTCAATGCCACAAGCCGAACCAACCAAGGCAACATAAGCCACAAGCAGAGCAGTCTCGCAACATGTGCTACTTCTAGTTGAGCATCATTTCAAATTGAGCACCGCCTCATATCGAGTATCAGTTCTAGACGACATATAGTTACTTTAGCCCACACATGGACTGAATTTCAAGTCTCTATCCAAAAGACTCTCTTGACTGAAGACTTGGGGGACTACTGTTTGTACCATACTTAGGGCCTCTGTATTTAGATCTCGTATAAATACTCGGGGGACTCAAATGTAATTATGTAATAAAGGAATTGGCAAATATGTAAAAAGGGGATGAGCCCTTATTATATAAAAGGGTCTCCTCACCCTCACAATCCTCAGGTCTCTCATATTCAGAGCAAACCCCCTCATTATCTCAAAGCCTCAT